TATTGAGCATCACGTCGCCGTTGCAGCCAGTTGGGCGAGTTTTCCTAATTTACTTTAACTTATAAATATATATTAAAATCTCAAGATTTCTGTCATTTTACTCATTTATATCATATATTGGTGGATTAAATGAATTAATTTTTAGAAAATGCCACAATTAATTGAACCATTTGCACAAGTTTTACATGTAAAAAGATTTTATCAGCATCAAAAAGTTGTATTTAATTTCAAAATAACCATCTTTACAAATACATTGATCAGCTTAGCCTTAACAGGTAAAATAATTGTTAGAAAAATCTATTTTATAATTTAAAATTTGTTACTTCAGCATATTTCTGTGTTTTACTCAAAAACCCAAATATTCATAAAATTTATTGCTAGTTATATTCTGTTTTATGGCCGATAAACAAAATGTAAGAAAAGATAAAATGTTTAAAATAGATTAAAATATTTTTTAAATTGTTCTATTCCAGCTTCATATTTATAGCTATTTTAACATTCTAAAAAGTAATATTACATACTAAATTCACAATGATCCTATTGCATAAAATAAATCAGTAAAAAAACCAAAATAAATAAGATAATGGGCATCATAATTTGTTATTTACCAAAAATAAATTAAGCCTACTATCATAAGTCAAATAGTTATCATTTTCATAATATTATCAATAGAATAAGTTAAACAGTAAGAATTTCAATTAGCACCAGTTAAACAAATCTTATTAATAATATCAATTATTTATTTGCACTTGATTCATACATTCCATCAATATAAAATATAATGATTATTCTATGATAACTAAATTGTTACTCCGAGTCATCCATTTCTAAATTATGTGGATTGCATAAATATCATCTAAATTTAACATCTCAATATGTAAAAGAATCTTGGAGGATATATTTTTGTTGGTCTTGATTATTAAAGCTTTTGCATTTGAAATGACATTCTCACATATTAATTAAAAACCAATTAACAAGTTATTTCCTTACTTTTTCATAATAATCACCTGAAATACGATGTAATTGTTATCTCAAACCTTTTCTGGCTGAATTTCACATGTTTCACATTTATATGAACATTCTAAGAGATTATTAGTAATTAATAAATGCTTTACTAAACTATTCCTTAATCTTCATAATATCCATCAGAAAATTGGTGATATTACCTTTTAATAGTCTAAGACCTTCGTTACAAGAATACTGGCATTCTATTGATATTTAACTTCACCTTCTAATTTCAAATATTATAATATCCAGTTTTACACAACAAAGATGATAATTGTAGTTATCTAAAGGTTGAACTCCATGTTATACGTTTAGAAGATAGAAAGCAATTACATGTTAAATAAGCATAATCACATTATTGCCTTTCTAGTGAAAATCCATTATCTAATTCTGTGAATGTAAGCTAATGTATTTAAATTTTATGTACTAGCCTAAGGACATGATACATATTTGTCATGCATAAAAATGTTTGTGTATTAATAATGAAACTCTATTAATTATCTCAAATTTAATATTTGATGACATAACTTATTTCTGATAAGTTCGCTGGTTATAAACATGGTTATTTGGATACACTCCTTAATTCAGAATCAATAATACTTTCACATTATTATACTTTATTTCCATATTCAACAAATTTAGATTTACAGGGACAAAAATTAACAACCTAAATTCTGTTAGAAATAAATTATTCTAAATATTAAGTATAATATAATCAAACGAATTTAAAAATACATTTTGGATTAAATGGATAAAAAATTTAAACAATAATAATCACAAGCCATTCATAGATAATTATAACTATTCTTCACTTCCAGCAAGGAGCTGTTTTTACTATTTTTAATTTCTATTAGATTGCTGGTCTGTGGGACAATCCGCTTTCATTATGTCCTTGTTAGATTTCCTTAACCTATTTTAATTTCAACTGCCTCAAGAACAACATTAGATGCGAAATATAAAATCTGATTTCTTATTAAATATATTAATAATGGTTTAATATTAGTATATATTTTATATCATCATAATCATCTAATTAAACATCTATTCTCCATTGCTTGAATATATTAAATAATCTCTGGTTATCAATATTAAAAATAATAATATCAAAAAAGATAATTTAGATTAAAATTTAATCGAGATCTTTATTTCTTATACGCTACTTTATTCCATTACAATCTTAGAAATTCAAATATGATTATCTATATTGAATTCATCCCTTGCGATGAGGTTGAAGGCTAAAATATAATCTTTAATTCTTTTTCTAATAATAATGGTGATAAAAGTTAAGAACATTAATTTAAAGTGATTAATTTCACCCATCCCTGCCCCCTAAAATAAATTAACTTTACAACATTATGAGGTATTCTATAATTGCAAATTTTAAATTAAAGTATATAAACATCAAACCAGTTCTAATTTCTACTCTGTAAACCGATATAGAAACTAGTGCATTCACATTTAGCATATTGTCACAAATCAAAGAGTAAATTGGTTACAAGTTATTCCAAGTTTAATTGTGGGTTAGAATATACAACAGAGAATAACATTGGTATCTAAATTAACCTATTTCGTAGCAATCATAAGACCAAATGATATCCTGTTGAAGAAAACGCAAATATCTAAATAGTGTTAAAGTGGTTATTACTTAGTTTCATAAATAGATTTTTATAAAATATATATCTAATCCAATCTCCTCAAAATATCAATTAATTACTATTTTTTATAATCAAAATCATATTTCATCATATCTCACATGATGTATTTAGTTATAAAAAAGGTAACAGTAATTAAATAAATTATAATCTGGTTTGAATAGGCATAGAGATAGTTCAAAGGAGAGTCAGGTCTACTACTCGATATAATTCAATTATGATTTCATATTAATCCTAATATTAAACAAAAAATTCGTATTGTCTCAAACAGCAATAAGATCTATTGGATAGAATTAGGTATACTTCAAATAGTGCAATTTATTTTTTATAAACTTTAACATATAATAAGTACGAAAATAATTTTTTTATAAATACAATGAGTTTGATTTCCAATTAGAGTACATTTACATAAATATGTAAATTTATATTAATATATAATAAATTAATTCTAAATATATAAATATGTTCATTGACTTTTTGGTTCACTTGGTTGATATAAAGTTCGTCTTCTATTCAATTTTTGTTATATTTACTATAATTAAAGAAAGGATCATTTTCAAGTAACAAATCGAAATTTTTCATTTTCAAATTTTTGAATCTAAAGTTTTCATCACAAATCATTATTAGAATTCCAATTTTTTCAAAATGACATAATTTGAAACTTAATATATAATTATTAAGAAAATAATTTATATGATAAACTCAGTATTTGTTTTGAAAAGAAGAGTGAAGCTAAATTTAGTTTTTAGAAATTATATGATGACAATATATATCATTTTTAATTAATAAAATCACATTCCTGAAATGCTGAAATCTATACTTGGAATTTTACCATTTCTCATCTACTTACAGTAATCAACTTCAATATCATAGAAATACTTATTGCTAATGCACATTTATGCCTTATGGGCCTCTATTATATCCGACGATTCCTCGAATAGAACTTGACTTAGATGAGCCTGATCAGGTTGTGTAACATTAATAAAGTATGGGTTACGGTGTTTGGACAAAATATCAACCTTTTGCATAGATTTTAGACTTGAGTATTATTATTATTTATTATTTTTAGGAAACAGAGACTAGTAAATAGATGCTACTTTAAATAAATTAAATATGATTTAAGGAGGTTAGTTCATATATTCTATGAAACAAAAGGAGAACAGCTTTTAACTTTTAGTTGTTTCATTAGTGGTTGATTAATTTGAATAAAAATTTCAATACAGTATCTACTATTCCTTCTCTTAATCATCCGATTTGATTCAATTCAACACAAACACAATAATAGAAGGGTTATGGATTCTGTTTTATGCTTATTATGATATGCCATCAAAAGAAACAACATTTGGACTTTACAATGTTTAGGAACCATTACAAACATAATAAATATAGGATGTACCTATATTTGTGAGTAAAATTAGACACAACATTGGTGGGATCTATTAATACAAAAACAAGAATGGCATTCTAGTGTAATTAAAGTAATTCATAGGGTAGATGTCAAATTTGTTTACATCAGATAATTAGAACATTCTTTTAAATTTAGAATGGTGCGTTAATCAATTTATTAATTACGAAATTTGCGAGAATTAAGATTATAATATAAGCGAGAAAAATTAGCATATGAATGGCTTTGAATTAATACAGATGTCAACACAGCCTCTTAATTTGCCAATCTATTTAATCCAAGGGTGGATAAAGCTTGACCTACCAGATGTAAATTTTCTAGAAACCATAGTATTGAGAATAACCATTAATTACAATTATAGTGATGACTCTTATATAGGAGACAGGGATGTTCTATTGAAATACTTCCAAAGTAGTATTCCTGGGGAAAATGGCTTTGAAATTTCTACCTACAGTTATTCATTTCCAATAAAATCAAGATATAAGACCTAAGATGATGATAAAATTTCTGAATACGGTGATTAGTATTCTGCAATGTTTGTTACATGGCACTATTTTTCATATGAAATAGGAACATTGAATAATGATGGGTAACCATTATTTACCCTCTATTTTCCTTCCATTAGTTAACACTACAAATACACCTGGAGCAAACAAATTTAGCACTTTACAGGAGTAACTTACTACATATATATCGGAGGTGACAACTATTCAAATTCATATCTTCGTGGTTATGTTAGTGATATAATACTCTTTTAATATTGCTAGCCTTAAGCTTCTTTGGTTGTAGCAGGTTGTGATTACTCATGTCTAGATTGTGATGGTCCAACATCTGTAAATTGTCTGAGTTGCCATGAAAATAGTCATAGATAATATTCAAAATCAGAAAACACTTGTAATTGTCATGAAGGATATGTGGATGTTAACGGAGAATATGAATGTGTCTCAGTAGCACTAACATTTTCATAACTTACGAAATAAGAAATTGAATTGAATTGCAATTTAGAAGGTTACATAAGATGTGAAGGATCAAATGTTGATTGTAACAAAGGATATTTCTTATTTTAAAACTAATGTATTAAATGGTAATAATATGTTTATTTATTCTAGTCCAGAGCAGAGCTCCTCATTAAAAGAAGTTTATGTCAGTTGTTTTGATTGTATTTCTAGTCCAATTCATTTTGGCTAATCATTGAAATGTACTATGGATGCAATAACGTTTCACTTTAACTCATAATACACATATGAGGTAGTCTAAAGGGATGAGTACCAAGTGAGTTTTTATGAAATGCAAATTTAGGATGACAAAACATTTATAACTAAATTATGTGTTGGATGTATTGGGAATTAATTATGTAAACCAGGGTACTATTTTACAGGAGAAGTATGTTCTATTTGCATTTAGAATTGTTTCATTTGTTTAAATTCGAATTCATGTGAAAGATGTTAAATTGGTTATTATCTAGGTATATAAAATCAATGTATAAAATGTCCTAATTGTAAAGAGTGCTTTTTATTTGATAATTTATTATGGTGTAGTACTTGCGAAGATGGCTAAATATTATAATACAATGAATGTGTATCATGTGGTTAAAATTGCAATAGTTGCGATGAATAAGGATATTGCAACTATTGTAATGGAGACCCTTCAAAATATTACTTAACTTTAGATGGAAAAAATTGCAGAGAATGCAATATTGAAAATTGCATTTATTGTTTTGAATACGTGATTATTTCTGGACAATATTCTACCACATTAGATATGAATTTCGATATATTTAATTTTACCACAAATTAAGTTACTACTGCTTGTGCTCTTTGCAAAAAACACTATCACTATAATCAAGGAACGAAACAATGTGAATTAAAGTCAAATGACGATGATTGTGAATTTGCACTTATTTTAGCTTCAACTGCTGAATAGGTATGTATAATCAGTCTTAAAAACGATGATGCTGTTTAAGTTACTTCATGTTCTTCCCTTCAACATTGCAAGTAATGCATTCATCAATACATTGCGAACGAATCGTACTGCATTTAATGTGAAGATGGTTACTACTCTGGAGTACTGACTGGACAATGTCAATTGTGTAATAATAATTGCAAGACTTGTCTATAATAGAATAGCATTTATAAAGACTATTGGAAATGGAGTGTAAAAGCATTCTATAAATAATTCATTAATGTTAACAGTGAGAATTCCTTTGAAGATTAAGGATAGGCTAGGGCTTAGTCTGATCTAGAGATTATTTGCACATCCTGCCAATTATCTTACATTCTTTATGAATAAAAATGCATTAAGGGATGTGAATAGAACTGTAAATAATGCGAAATTATTGATGGAAAAGCTACATGCATTTAATGTTAAGAAACTGACTTTGGATTTCTCAAAAGCAAAGACATAAATGGAACATGTCTTTAGTGTCCTTCCAATTGCATTGCCTGCTTGGAAAGAAACCAAGAGGAAATATTAGATATCAACCCACATTACATTTAGAATGACAATAACGCATAATATTCCAGAAAATGTTATGAAAAAGCAAAAAAGGAGGGCAAGTATTATTTTGATTTCTTAACCTAAACAATAACAGTTTGTACAAACTACCTACATTGTTATACTAAATATATAGTTTAGTAGAATGTATTTTGTGATTTCATTTAATACAAACAGCTGCTTGATGATAATAACAATGATTAATTTAAACAAAAGAACATTTTTTTAGGCGAATTTTACTATTCTGATTATCTTAATTCTTTTGAATCTCATTTGCTTTATAAGTATTTAAACGAAGCTCAAGCAAGATATGTGGAATTCTAATTTACTATAATGTAGGGAAATCAAACGGAATGCATCATCGAAGCAGATATACAATTTTATTCACTTTTATAATAAAACATATTTACATTATAATAGGTTGACATAACATTTTAAGGAGGAACTACCCCTACTATATTATCTATATTCCATTAAATATCCTTAAGCAATTATACTTAGGTTACTTTTAAGAATATTCATTTTAATTTTGATATGTATCAGTCTCCGTTTTTCATAACTTTGTTTAACTTAAAGTATGAATTGACATTGGCCTTTGAAACTTGTATTTTTTCTATGCCATAAAGATCTTCATGGAACCGTTCTTTAGCAATAAGATCTAACATCCCTTATGTTCTTTTATTAGAGAATTTTACAATTCAAGACTTTTATGTTTAATCATCTGAGATATTTACTTTTCTATCTTTGGAACATACTCTTACAAATTCAATTTAGGTAAACAACTTGTAAATTAAAGACTCCTTTTTTTATAATTCAACTATTTTTAAATTTCAGGCTAATCATAGTAACTTGCCTTACAAATCACGTTTTAATTTGATATCAATAACGGATACAATATTTCTCTCTTCTAACTTAATTATGAGTTAAGGGCTCTTACATTACACTACTGGATCATTATTAATAAAGTAAATTTACATTTCAAATGTGCAAATTATTGAAAATTCCTCTTTTTTCCTTATTTCCCACTTATCATCACTGTAGATTATTAATTTAACTTTATTTAATTCATCAATAGTCTAAAACTCAAATTTTATTTCATCTAATATCATAAATCTCAAGGATGGTTTAATCAACAATACTTAAATTAAGAATAGTAGCTTAATAAATAATCTAGTTGAATATTCAAAATCAGAATTAGCCTTGTAGTCTAGTTCTAAAGCTTATATAGAAAATATTCACATTTTAAACACTCAATATGATGATCAACAACAAGTAATAAAAATAATAAAATATGTTGAAATAGCTTAATTATAATTAAATTTAGTTGGGTTTTCTTTTTTGGATGGTCAACTAACATCTGAAATATTATAATAAGAAATTTCTTACTATTCCTCTATTATGTATTTTGAGTGTTAACTGTGTTACTTAGAAGGTATATAATTATTGAGAGCACATGGATTGCCTGAGATGACTTTGCTATATTCAGAGTTTTTGGATATTAAAAATTTCAGTGTCTCTTCAAATTAAATGTACCTGACTAAATCTTTGCATAGTTCATACGAATGCACTGAGAAGTTTTCTTACAAAAATATGCATTTTTTCTTATACATAGGGTTCTACTAAATTGTCAATATCAATTCCTTAATGGTTCAGATAGCTTGAGTATCAAT